CCGATCTTTCAACAGTTTCTCAAGGCGAGCAAGGACCCGAAGTACACCGTCAGCGAGATCAATACCGTAAGTTTCACTACACCGTCGGAACAAGTAGCAATACTGACGTTGTTGACAGTACCCCACAACTACCAACGCCGTACAAGTCGTCACAACACTGCTATACGCCTGGACGAGCGACAGCATCCTCAAAGGCTCCAGATGGCAACCAATCGTCTTCGGCGGCTGCATGAATATCATCTGCTCTACCAGTCTGGCCATCTGGGATATACCCATCAAATGGAAGTGGGCTTGCTACATTCTCTCCGGTTTCGGTGGCGGTCTTTCCGGCTTGTGCTTCGCATGGGCTCATGAGATCTGCACGCACGATAACGAAGAGCGGGCTATCGTTGTCGCGGCTATGAACGAGATGGCGTATGTGATACAGGCTTGGCTGCCGCTTCTTGTTTGGAGGCAGGTTGAGGCGCCGCAGTATCGTAAGGGGTTTATTACGGTGGCGTTTTTGAGTGCGGCGCTGATTGCGACTGCGCTTACGATTCGGTTGCTGTATGCGAGAGAGTTGGTTGAGAGGGGTGGCGGTCAGGCTTCTGAGATCGAAGAACGGACGAGTTCTGATGAGGAAACGACGGGGCTGGGGAGCGATGGGGATGTTGGTCAGATCAAAGCGCCTTAAGAGAATTGTGATCGCTATCACTTCAACGTTCTGTCCTGGTTCCGTCACGTCCATCCCATAGTACACTTGATGACCCATCGCAACGAGCGACTCACAACTTCCGAAATCCATGTGTACCCATACAATCAGGTCCTCTCGAAAAAAGAAAAGTATTGTCAACACAAGAGCTTCAACGTTGTGTCTCCTACAGAACCAAGATACCCTTCCATAGTCATGATCATTGACTATCCCATTGCTCAAATAAGACAAAAGGTCTGCTCCTCCAGTGTATCTGATACTGCACCCTGAAATACCTCTCCGTTCATGATCTCATCGAGATAAGCCTGACCCATGAATACATATGCGCTTCCTCTCGGGCGCAATACATACGGTATGTTACCACCGTACAACACTGCCACGATATCACCGGTCCGCATGCATTGTGGGCCGAGACCATACGAACCCTCCTGCGTCCAGAACAGGCGTCGGTGATCACAAACGTTAGAGGCAATTCTTTCAAACAAAGCTGAATCGCGATTATGAGCATACTCGCCCTGATTACCAGGCTCTTGAAGATTGATCAGTCGGCGCAGAAAACGTGAGCAAGCGTTGCTGTGACTCGCTCTCGAATCCAAAAGCTGTAGGTACTCATCCAAACCAGCCACCCAACTACCTCCCGTCAATGTACGAGCGAATTTCTCTGGGGTCGATTTCACATCCATACGCTCGTACGATTTGATGAATGGATGGCTCTTGGGTGGATTACCGATAGCGTTGGCATCAGGTATACTTTCTTTGGCATCCTCAGTGGGCTTTGGGCTGCCGATGTACTTAGGATCTGACAGATTGAGATAGTTCATCACCTCTCCAACCTCAGACACCCTGCTGTATGTCACACCTTTGAGACAGAGATTTCCCAGAGCTGACAAACTGCCGACGGTGATAGTCCGTTTATTCTCTCCACATGCACTCCAGGGACATAAAATTTCGGGTACTCCCATTGGCTCAGGAGGATGACGACTATCCCATCGCGGGGCCCATGATCTGTATTCAATGTCTTCATATTCCTCAGGATCAGGCCCATCATAGATGACACCGTGATCAATAAATCTCCACTCTCCAAGATCAGGCCCATCATAGTTGATATGGTGATCAACGTAGCCGAACGCGGTCAGTCGTGCGTAAAGTTGGATGGAAACCAACACCGTATCGGCATATACCTCATCAATGCCTTTTGTATAGTCGATGTCTAAAGCTTCTACCTCTGGCCTTGGTGAGACAATGTTCACTAGGCCGTACACTTTATCAACTGGGTCAGAAGATTTTGAACCGCGAAAGACCTGCAGCGTTTCTAGTAGTGGATACGTGCTTTCTTCGCTCATCATGGCCGCATGTTCGCTGCCTAGCCCGTAAAGCGCTAACTCATCTAGCTTACTGTAAATTCGCGTTGCATCAGGATGATGATCTCTCTCAAAGATCCATGTGGCACTCATAGCCAGAGCTGACCAGGAAATCTCGTCATCTCCCCAGATGACTAGCGCGTCTACAGCTAAGCGGATTTCTTGGATGCACCATATCCTAGAGAACCAAGGTCGATTGTAAAGTTCCTTGATGCTACTTAGTATGATCGGAGAGGCCGTGATTTCCGGGAGTTTAACTTCTTCATGATTTGTGAAGCAATTTGTAATGTTGCCGTGTCTTTCATCGTGATCATGACAAGCGTCGGCAATGGTCTCAACGGCATCGAAAGCCATGCGGGTCTGTTGTGCATCGCCTTGCCCTAGCCAGACAACCACTCTTTTTGCCAATGAATAGATGCTTCCCATCATCGGAACTTGATGACTTTTCTCGGCCTCGTCCGCCTGGTTGATACAGATCGCATCCGCCCAGATAATGCGGTCCGCTTGTTTGTGACGTAACCTCTTCAATGCCAGCGAAAGCGATGGTCCAATTTCAACACGCTGTCCATTACACCATATGTCCGCAGACGGTGTTGGTGCACCCCATACATAAGACAACGCCTCATACGGAGGAGCGTCGTCAATGTTGAAGGGACGACATTCGCATTGCAATGGCGCGGCTTCATTGAGGGCAGGAAGAAGCCTGAGAAGCCTGAACGTTCGATCACTCAAGATCCTTTGCGCACAAGCAGGAGCGACCGACATCTGGTATTTTGAAGAAATTTGACAGCAACGGTATGTTTACAAGCATGAACCCTGACGAGCACTCCTAGAGTATTTTGAAGCGTGCTACGCTCGCTCGCATCTGTCCGATGCGTATGTATCGCAACTCGGTACGTGCGCTGCGTATACCCAAATTACAATAAAGTGGCTGATAGACGCCGGTGATCGAGGACGGCAGACCAGCCGCGCCAGGCTGACAAGTCACAGATCGCAGGAATGGGGGTCGTGTCGATACACAAGACCGTGAGTAAATCCGGGCAATGCCGATGACGTACACAGCGTTCGTGACGAGGTTTGCATGCGGTGTCCTAGGTGGGTAGGTGGGAAGCAGAGGTGCGTCTTGTAGGAGGTTGGGAAGTGGCACTACGATAAGACCTCGGCAATGTGCCGCAAGTGGTACTGACATGTGGACACCGACGCTAACGTATGAATTTCGTGGTCGCCCTCGTGGGGAGCTGAGCGGTGCGCCAAGCAACGCCATCAACCGCAAGTTCAACCGTAGCTCAATTATCTGCCGCTGCCACCTACCACTGCCATGACACACTTCGGTCAATTGCCGGACCATACCTAGGTACCACCCCCTTCCAGATTAATAATCACATATCTCGTCATTCCGATCCGCAGACTTGGTGAACGCGACGGATGACATCTGGAAACCTTACCAAGCCACACTTCCGCCCCCAATGCCGGCCTGAGGCGATCCATGAGCCAAGTCCGCGGTATACTGACCCGCTTCCTTCATTCCATGTCGCACGTGCGTCGTTCAAACGCCGGTGCCTGGGTACGGGACATGCCCACATTCTATCATCCATGTCATTACGGGAGCTTGCTATAGGGCATTTTATACGAAGTTTCAGCAAATGTCCAGCCTTATCTATTGCGCCCCTGTACTAGCTAATGCGGGCTGGTTAGACTAAGCGAAACCACCTGCCCTTTTGCGAACCCTCACCACCACGCTCAAGCACGTTGGGACTTGCCAGATTATTGCATTATTGTAATTGGTCGACATGTAAAGAGGTGCTGGAGGAGTTCTCTCCTCGCCGACCTTCACCGTGCTGCAAAGGGTCAGGATTGTCCTGCTGATACCGATGTTGATGCTCCTTCGGACGTCATGTGTGAATGTGGTAAGTGCGCTTTGGTCTGCCAACGGTTTTGCGGCCACGTGCGCTACCATGGGAACTATGGGAAGATCAGTACGATCACTGCGGCACGCTCCATGAGTGGAGTGTACTTCCACGGCTACTGACGATCGTAACAAAAAGCAATGCGCTCATGATGTTCGACTTCAAACGTCACTGGGACTCAAGGCGCAATTGACTTCGCTTACCCAAAGATGGATGTTTCCGTTAGAGGCTTCAACACAGGCCATCCCAAGTAATCATATGGCGGGCTAACAAGTCGAAAGCCACATGGAAAACATGGAAGACCCGGCCTCGGGTGCCTTCAGCCGCACAAACATGAGCAAGTGTCTGGACCAGTTGCGACCTTCGGGCGATGGTGTCGTTTCAAGCAGGTGGCAGGCGCAGCGCCACTCACACTATGCGCGGGACGTGCGTAGCTCACTTCAAGTAAGTTTCAACTCCTGCTCCTACAGGTCGCGGGGTAGTTGGTGTGCATGCCGGCTCCTATTACGAGCATGCCGGTTATAATGGCCGCGGGCGCTCCCGAGTGATTCAGGAATGCTTTTCTGGTACCCGCGGAGGACTTATGTTGTTTTTGCGGCTGTCTTGCCTGGCGTTTACTCATCATGACTTCGAGATTTCCTACCGCGGAGGAATTCGCATCGTTTCCACCGCCTAACTATGTCGACCCAGCGAATCACCTCACATTGGCATTGGCGATACTGGTCCCACTGACTGTCCTTGTCATTGGGTTCATATCATGTCGGTTCTACTGTCGGACAGTACTCGTCAATACATTGGGATGGGATGACTGGACGATGCTAATGGCAGCTGTAAGTGACAGAAGGATTCGTCTGGCGAGCTGAGAGTAGAGCGCTGACCTGTATAGGTGATGTCGGTTGGAAGCAACGTCATGCTCATTATATCGATGCTGCCAGATTACCAAATGGGCTATCATCTATGTGAGTAGACCTTGACTTAGGTTACATGCGCCACAACTGATGTGAAGTAGGGGACGTTCGACCTGAGCGACTTTTCGGGACGATGAAAGCTGCCCAAGTACGTTGCGCGTCACGAGTTGGCACTCTCATGCTCACAGCAGTTTAGATGGGCATGTCGACTCAATTGCTCTTCACTGCAATCATTACGTTCATGAAAGTCGCAATTCTTCTTACCTACATACGTAAGTGCGCAGCGTGTGCGAAACTCTAACAGTGTACTCACTAACAGCTTTCCAGGCATATTTCCGTCGAAGCTCGACAAGTGGTTCTGCCGCTTGATGATCTTCTACACAGTGACTCTGAATACGGCCTGCTTCTTCATCACACTGTTCCAATGCTCGTAAGCAAACGCGCTCACTCCAGTCATTGCACATTATACTAACAATCAGTGTAGACCCGCCAGCACGTACTGGGAGATCTTCAAGTACATCAACACAGCGAAGTGCCTCAATATCAAGGCGATCTACTACTTCCACTCGGCACAAAACACGTTCAGCGACTTTGTCATCTTCCTATGGCCCGCGAGAAACCTTTTGAACGTCCAAGTATCGCTTCGTCAGCGCGTAACTCTAACGAGCATGTTTTCGCTTGGTGTCATGTAAGTCGACATCTCGCGATCTACTTTGCATCAGGCTGACATGCGATTAGTGTATGCATCGCCGGCGTCGTGCGACTTTACTATACACACCTATACCTCGTCTCCTATGACGTCTTTTGTGGGTCACCATCGAATTACAGCTGTGCGCAATCAACAACTAACAATATACAGGGTACGGAGCTACTACCTTCGTCATCATGTCTGTGGAGAGCGGTGTGGGTGTTATCTGCGGCTGCCTCCCAGGCTGCAAGCCTCTCATGAACAAACTGTTCCCACGCGTCTTCGGCAACACGTCGCAAGCATCGTCCCGCCGCCGGCCATCAAACAACTTCCTCGGAGGCAAATTCGCACCAACGTCATCGTCATCGGCAGGGAAATCCGAGCAGGGATCATATCGCATGCAAGTCTTCCAGTCTCGTCCCGAGATACGGCGCGGTGCGACGACCATGGAGAAGCGAGCACAGCCAGACGTTGAGAAACAGCTTCCTCCGCCACCACAACCGTCGCACCAAGGGCTGCGGCCACCCAGCCGAACGGCTTTCACTGGAAGGAGACAAGGAGACGCGTACAGAGAGCTACAGGGCAATGGGAGCGACTCCAGTATAGAGATATTTCTTTTGCAGCGTAATTAAAACATGTGTACCCTACCATACCTGGGGAACGGAAAGAATTGAGATAGACAAAAGAATGTCCGTGCTTTTCAGTGTCGCGTCGCCCCAATGACCCCGGAACCTCATCATGCCGCAGATATCATCGACCGCTCTTCTGTTCGCCAGATGGTTCTTTGTACCACTGCGGGCACTAGGAGCCCGTTTGACCCCACCCCGGAGTGCACAAATAACGTCGCGTCGCGTGTCAGAAGTGTCGGCGGGGATGGCGGCATGGCGGACAGCTACCCCACTTAGCGTGTTTGCTGCCTCGCCTCACCGCGTCTCGTCGTCTCGTCATTTCTCTTCGCTCAGCCTGGCCGCATCTGCCTTGCGAACAACAAACAGGGCATTGCAGGCAAACTCATCTCAACTCTCATACATCATTTGCGTTAGGTACAACTTTTGGTGAAGGACATCTTTCTCTCGCTTATTGCGTCGACTGTCGTCGAGCGCTGCTATCTCATCATTTGGTCCGAACGTCTCAATTAGCCATTCAACAATGTCAGCACCACGAGGTGGCGGCGACAGGGGTAGAGGAGGCTACCGCGGTGATCGTGGAGGCGGTCGTGGAGGTGGAAGAGGCGATTTTGGAGGTCGCGGAAGAGGAGATGGTGCGTACCGTGGAGACCGAGGTGGCGGCGGCTATCGAGGCGATAGAGGTGGAGGCGGAGGTCGTGGTGGTGGAAGGGGTGGTCCTCCTAGTGGCCCAGTAGAGAATCAGGTATTCGCGTAAGTTGGGCCTCGATATAGTCGAAGATGATGCTAAATATTTGCGTAGCAACGCGGCACCGCAGAACCCCCAGGTCGCCAAGACTGAAGATGCGATGCATCCCGTCGGCAAGAAGACGCTCGACCTGAGCACCTTGAAGCTATCGGAAGGCAACCCTACCAGGCCTGGATACGGCACCCGAGGCATCAAGGTGGAGCTTACCGCGAACTATGTCGAGTTGCTGCCACCATCCAACATGGTGTTATACCGGTACGACGTCGATGTCCAACCGGAGGCCGCTGGTAGGAAGCGTCACCGAGTAATGGAGCTCTTGCTTCAATCATCTGAGATGTCGGAACACAAAGGCAATGTCGCGACTGATTTCCGTCAAACCCTTGTCTCCAAGACGAAGTTCAAGCATGACGAAGACATCATTGATATTCAGTACCGCACCGAAGGCGAAGATGAACCGGCTGCCAACGGCACAGTATACAAGATCAAGGTCAAGTATATTCGAACGTACAGCATCGGTGAGCTCGTCGACTGGATGAACTCTACCAACCTCAGTCAATCTTTTGGCGATAAGCAAGAACTGACCCAAGCGCTCAACATCTTCCTGAACCACTACGTCAAGTCCGCCAACAACCTCGCCACGATCGGATCGTCGAAGAGCTTTTCTCTCAACCAGAATGCGACACGGGGTGATCTCGGCTCAGGTCTTGAAGTCATCCGCGGCTTCTTCTCGAGCGTGCGCGTTGCAACTTGCCGCATTTTGGTCAACATCAACGTCAGTCACGGAGCCTTCTACAACCAGGGTCCTCTACCAGGTCTCATGCACAGCTATGGTACACGAAACACCATCGCCCTGGAGAAGTTTCTCAAGCTGGTCCGCGTCCAAACGACGCATTTGGCTGAGAAGCGGAACAAAGCCAAGCAGGTCATTCCTCGCATCAAGACTATCTTCGGCCTTGCTAGGAAGGATGACGGGCACAAGCTGGCGAACAGGCCACGCATCAAGGGCCACGGTGCAGGCGCCAAGGATGTTGAGTTCTGGCTCGACGCTGATGCCGGTTCCTCTGGCGCGCCAAAGGCCGAGGCGGGCGCTGCGAAAGGCAAGGGTAAAGGAAAGCCTCAGCCGAAGGGCCCAGCGCCTGCTGGGTCAGGAAAGTACATCACCGTGTACGACTTCTTCAAGACAAGTATGTTGCTCTCATTCTCCATGGCATCACGGTACTAACGGGATGTAGCATATAACCGTGTCCTTCAGCATCCCGAGCTTCCTGTTGTCAACTGCGGCAATCGGGAAAATCCCATGTACCTCCCAGCAGAGGTCTGCATAGTCGTTCCGGGTCAGCCATCCAAAGCCAAGCTCGATGGTGGCCAAACACAGACCATGATTCGATACGCTGTGCGCAAGCCGTGGGAAAACGCGAGATCCATTCTCAACGAGGGTGTATCGACCGTCGGCCTAGACGAGAGCACGAATCTTCTGATGGTAAGACTTCAGCCGATCTTTGGTCAACCCCACGCTAACCCGCACAGCGGTCTTTCGGTCTGACGATTACCCCCGGTCTTCTCAAAGTGCCCGGACGCGTTCTCAATGGTCCGAAAGTTATATACAAGGGCAACAAGACCGCAGATCCGCGTTTCGGCGCTTGGAACATGATCAACATCAAGTTTAACATTGGTGCCAGCCTTGCCAAGTGGTCGGCGGTTATGATAACGCTGCCCTACAAATCAGGCTCATTCGATGGCCAGGGTTTCGCTGCGGTAATGTCAGAGTTTCATCAAGGCTTGATTAAGATTGGTGTCAACGCCAGCCCGCCCCTTCCTCCGCAGCGCCTGCAGCTGCACGGTCCTGATGACCCTAGTCTCGGCCCATATCTGCAAAAGGCAGCCAGTAGTCTGGATCTCTTGTTCATCGTCTTACCGGAGGCCAATATACCTCTGTATAAGCGCATCAAGACGCTGGCCGACAAAGATTATGGTCTTCACACGATCTGTTCAGTGGGCTCCAAGCTCGCAAAGGAACGTGGCCGCGATCAATACATTGCCAATGTCGCGCTCAAGTTCAACCTGAAGCTTGGCGGTACCAATCAGGTCGTTGAGAACAAGAACTTGGGTATCATCGATCAGAACAAGACGATGGTAGTCGGCATCGACGTCACCCACCCTTCGCCAGGTTCGGCTTCGAATGCGCCTTCCGTCTCTGCAATGGTTGCTTCTATCGACAAAACCCTCGGTCAATGGCCCGCCACTCTGCGCATTCAGCGCGGAAGACAAGAGAACGTCGATGATCTCGCTGAGATGCTTATGTCGCGTCTCACCCTATGGAAGACCAAGGGCAAGCACACCACATTCCCAGAGAACATCTTGATCTACCGCGACGGTGTGTCAGAGGGACAATACGACATGGTCCTTTCACAAGAGCTGCCTCAACTCCGAAAGGCATGCGAGGCACTTTACCCAGCGCCGGACACCAAGAAGGGTCTCCCCCGCTTTACGGTCGTTATCTGCGGTAAGCGACACAAGACTCGCTTCTACCCCACGAACCTCCAGGATTGCGATCGCTCCGGCAACACCAAGCCCGGTACCGTCGTTGACCGTGGCGTTACGGAGGCCCGCAACTGGGACTTCTTCCTACAGGCCCACGCCGCACTCCAGGGCACAGCGCGCCCTTGTCATTACTATATCGTCCACGACGAGATCTTCCGCCAGATCTACGCCAAACAAATTCCACCGCCGTTTACGAATATCGCGGATATTGTGGAAGATCTTACGCACAACATGTGTTACCTGTTCGGTCGTGCCACCAAAGCAGTCAGTCTGTGTCCGCCAGCTTACTACGCCGATCTGGCATGTGAGCGCGCGCGTTGCTACTTGGCCAATCTGTTCGACACACCGACACAGAGTGCGGCAACTTCTGTCGCTGGGGCTTCTGCGGTTGGGGGTGCGTCGCTGGACCCCAGTGCTTCGGATGTAATGATTCATCCCAAGATCAAGGATTCGATGTTCTACATCTAGGCCACCATCACCCCCTAGCTTTATTGCATGGGATTTCATCTACAATCTATCATGTGTGGCATTGTTGGCTTGCGTGCAATCACTACTGGTAAGAAGGAAGAGATGACGAACGAAGAAGAGAAAGATTCGAGACGGGAAAGGGCGCCAACCAAGCGGCGACTGGCTAGTCATTGCTACTACACCCATCGATATGGCGACATATCGATGATCCAAGATCATACTGTTCATTGTTACCCCATCAGATACAAAGCTGCATAACAGCCAAATACACTCTTTAATAAGACGATGTCTTATCCTGCACTCATTGCCGCATTTGTCCCACCCAAGATACATGCGCATACCTCCAATCCTTGATCAGCGTATTGATGTAAGCTGCCATCTGCTGATTGGCTAGTCCGCCGTGGTCAAACTCGTGCTATACTGCTTACTCCCAAAGATGAAGCTCTGGAGCAATAATGTGTTGAATGGCGCAGTACCGTGTGTTTCATGGATCGACTCTCTTCATGAAGAGATAGATGTCGCGGGTACCATGGCCTTGACATCTTGCACACTCTACACACTCACGATGGGAAATACATGCGTGAGTCGCCTATCCTGACACCACCGAGTGCAGCAAGTGAAATTTAGATGCTGGCCATGGGCGACAACACGCGATACCAGTCCGGAGCGGCCTTTGGCTTCGCTGGTGACGCGAAGGGTCCCATGGTCGTCTTGAGTAGCGAAGTATTGCGACATGCGACGCATTTGGTGCATCGCAGTCGTGCTGTATATGCTTCTCGCAGGCCCAGCCCCTGGCGTCATACATGCAGGGTCGAGATCTACCCGCACGCTCTGCTGACATACTAGTCAGGATTCCGCTAGTGCAATTCCTGGGGTAGACTGTTTCGTATAGCATTATGCCACTGCTGTGGCGTGAATAACTTCTCGCCTCGTGTCGCACGCCAGTAATTCGTCGTTTCGTACACCTCCGGACATCCACTCAGCAGCCAGCCCCACTTCTCCAGAAATATCGGATCGATCTCCCAACTGCGATAGTCCTCGGGAGGTCCCCAGACGATCAGTATCGGATTGCGGTCCAAATGATTGTACTCGCAAATATCATGGCATAGCGCATCTTCGTAGTCGATGGGTTCCGTTCGTTGAAACGCTTGCAGCATGTTGTCTCGCACTTTTGGCCATGGGAACAGATCCAGCCACGGATGATGCTCTATAGAGGCTTGGAGCTCAGTAGGCTGTAGACATGCTGGCCAATCTGCTCCTGCGTCTTGACCCAGGAGCGGGCCTTGTTTGTTGAGTGGCGAGATGCCATGCCAATCGTAGTACTGTGCAGTGACTCCCAGGATATCGGCGTTTCTTGCGAGACCGCTGGCAACGTTGTATTTGAGTAGGAGTGGTAAGTGGGACAGGGCGGGTGTGCCTTGCATGTAGCTGGCGTATGCGTGTTCGGAAAAGCGGCGCATGAGCTCCTGCACCTTGGGGTGGGCGGCCATACATGACCTTTGCGCTATTTCGGCATTTTGGCTGCTAAGATCGTCCAGGGATAGGTCGGATGTGCTGCAACTGCCTTCACGACCCGACGCGTCGCTCTCGTTGGCCTCGTCTGGTATTACAACACGGCGGGGCTGTTTGGCTGGGGCACTTTTCTTTTGTGCACGGTTTCCTAGTAACATGTCAGAACTGACTTTATTTCTTTTGGCGGTCGATCTGCAGGACAACTTACTCCGTGCTCTCTGGTTCAAGCGGTTCTGTAGTTTTCGCCTCTCCACCGGGTTGGTCACACCCATCCAATCCTCCGTCTCATCGCGGAGCTCGGGTCGCTGAGACGACCAGGCTAACTCAATGGGAGCATCTGCATAGTCAAACCCAGATGACATCGGAGTTGCTGACATGTGGGCAGGTGGAAATTGTGTATGGGAATGTCATCCTCCGAGCGGGTGCCAGCATATATGCAGATCGATGACAGCTCGCGAATCGGACCTATGTATTCGAGCCCCGCTTCGAGAAGCAGCATAGCCCCAACACTGTTGAAGGTGTTAAGGAAGTAGTGAGGCTCACTCTGGCGCGATTCTGTTTTGAGAGTGTCAGCAGCGTGCATAAAGTCCGCGTTAGCTCCCTTTAGCGCCTGGGCTGATGCACAAGTGCCATCAAGACAGCGGCCGGGTCCACTTCCCCGTCGCACTCGCACTCGCGGTCGGAGTTTGATAGATCGGAGGTCTAGGAAGGGTGCCATGACTTAGTTGTAAAGATTAATGAGAATATACCAGGCGTATGAAGCTATTGATGCAATTTTGGGTGCAAGCATGTGGACTTCGCGATGACTTCACAAATAGTTCATTGGGACTGGTGAGACCTCGGCTTGCAAATCGCTCTGGCTACTGCCACTGATAATCGTGACCTTCTCGTCACTCCCGCTTCCCAAGCGGAATGACAAAGGTATTGCGCACACTTCGTGGCGGAGTTAACATCATACGTGGTATCGTGCATCGGATCCGCAACTCTTGTAGCGTTGAATTGTTTCAGCTAAGACTAGCCGCTTTTCTCATTCATTGTATTTATTGCTTCGTCATCGAGAGATGAGTAATGATCTTCGATCGCCTGCACGTGGCTTTTTGATCGCTTCATAAGCTGTAGTAAGTACCGCATCTTTTGCGAACCGATATCTTCGGGCTCGGCCCAGGGTCTTCCTATTGGGTCTGCGGTGGCTATTCCGCTCAGAGCCGCACAGATCTCGCTCAATTGATCGTGCCTCATTTATCGGCAGCAGGGACGCGGTCCAATGGGATAGTCTCCATGTCTCGGATAAGTACGGCTGGCCTATCATATTCGAAAACGATCTCCAGCGCAGGCCTGCACTTTGTGAGGAACTCCAGGAATTCGCGACGGAATGCTTCATGGTAGACGCCACGGAACTCAAGGTACCGCAACTTCGGGACGAAAGTCTTATCTGTCAACCAGTCGAGTGTGCTGTTGAGACGAATACGCTTCGACTTTTGGCCTTGGACGACTGTCAGAGTGACGGATTCGATGTTCGCGCAGTTCTTGAGGATGGTTGGGAATGCGGTACGCGTGAGCTTCGATGTGCCGTGAAGAGCGATGATCTCCAGTTGAGGCAAAGCTTTGGTCAACTTCTCTACACCCGCGCTAGTGAGTTCAATGGCCTCCTTCCTCTCAACATCTCCAGCGACGAAGACGCGGACGGCGCTTCGGAAAGTAGCATCTGCATTGGCGATGACGTCGACAATGGTGCTGAATTTTATCAGCATAAGTTATTACGACTCCGTACAAAGTTAGACATACTCGTCAACGTTGATGCCAGAAGCGAAAACGATCTTTTGAACGGGCTTCGCAGTGCTATCAAACTTGGTCGATGCATCTACGTGCATAGTCTGCTCATCTGCGATGGCAGCAGGCTGGTACTCGATAGCCTTCCCCTTCCTCGCCTTTGCACGCTTCTCGAAAGCATCCCACGAAGCGTCGCTCGGGGGCTGAGCCATCAGGCGCGCATCCCACTTCTCCTTTGGCTCATCCCAGGGTCCGTAGGCTTGGGTAGCGGGAATCTCATCATCCGGACTGGTGTCCGACCCCGCTTGGCGCTCTTCAATGACCTTGAGCCTTTGGAGCTCTCTCTCCTTCTCCTTCTGCTTCTTCTTCTTGGCGGATCCTGAAAGTGGCGCCATGATGTCGTTTCTAGATATTTGACGTTGGGAGATCTGAAGAAGCCAGGTGTCGAGCTATCAAAAGAAGAGTTCATCGGAAGGCGGGGGTACCCCACTATCATCTCACACCTTGCCGTTTCAAGCCTAGTGGCTTTGCGACCCTTTCGTACCTTCACTCTCGTGTCTCTTCGAGCCTCGTTTGTGACACGACGAACGGCTATCGCGCCGGCTTCAACATCTTTCAAGGCTGACTCATGCCTGCGATAAATATCTGACTCCTCAGATATGTCCGACTCTGTCGCAATATCGAAAGACCAGGAACGCACATACTCGGAACAAAGTTCCCGGACATGAGATCGAATGATAGCGAGCCCGGAGTAGAGTCGCCCAGGGTTCATGTAGAAGACCGCTCCATCTGGTAGAGAAGACGCAGAATGCGAGCAACGCGACATACGAGCTTCCTTATACTACCTAGCGCTCAGCATTCTGGTTGCCTGGATGGTCAGACTAGGTGACTCATCCGAGTCCAGGCCGGTGTTAGCATTCCGTCGACGCGTCGAAGATATGCTTATGATAAGGCTTGGAAGCGTATAAGCTCGAGCGCGCCATCAAGCATCAATCAACCATTACCTAGCCTCAAAATGTCACCATACGACTTCCACATCTCGACTCCACGTCTCTACCTCTCCTATCTCGATCCCTCCTCTGACGAACAGTGCGACTTCACCCTTGCACTCTATCATGGCGCCCCATCTGTTCGACGGTACCCTGGCGTGATCAAAGACGTACCAGATCGCGAAGCAGTGCGAAAGATCGCCGCCTCTGGAGATGAGAAGCTTCGTGCGAGTGGATATGGGCGGTACATCATCAGCTTGAAACCAGAATCGCCTGCAGATGACGAGGAGACCGGAGTTCCATTCTCACAAAGGAAATTAGAACGCATTGGGATTGTTAGCATGCAACTAGGACGTGTTGCAGGCGAGCAAGCACCCACCATGCCGGATGTCGGCTTCAACATGATGGAGCGGTATCATGGGAAGGGTAAGTCCTAGCTGTACGAAATGCATGTGAGACATATACTGACTTCGTACCTCTACCTGTGCAGGATATGCGACAGAAGCTGCGCAGGGGCTGATCAAGTACTTTCGCGAGGAGAAAGGTGCGATGGAGATTGCGGGTTTGACTGACGACACGAACGAAGAGGCGAAGAGACTCTTCCGCAGACTGGGATTTACGAACCATGGAGTCAGGAAGGTACGTGGTATTCGGTGGGGTGGCGAAGTAATCGACGTGGATCTCTGGACCTTGGGACTAGAGGATGGGAAGAAACTAGAAGACTTCGGGTTTTGATCCCACACGGCTGCTGTTCACCTTGTTCAGGCTTTCAAGTATGTTCTCAAGTATGGGTGGTGTCTTTGGCTGGGCGTCCATCCTGCGTTTGAAAGTCATGGGCTACCATATCTAAGTAATGCTACCTGTTTCCCTCCATATCTCTAGGTGTAGTTCCGCGCCAGTACTCTAGTTACTGCAGTCTTGAGCTTGGCTGGAAGACCGAGGAGACACTTTAGTCTCAAGCATAGCTTTAGCCTCGCGATCGTGCGACAAGCTTCCAGCCTCATTACCAACCTCGATTCCATCTAGATACTCAAACCCAGTAACGATGCGCGGAATGAGGGTTTCCTGAGCAGGAAAGAACAGATTGCAGAAGTAGTACAAGAAGATGGACAGGAAGAACCCATACAGCCAGTTAAACGTGAAGAGGTTCTGGAGACCGGCCGAGAGCTTCAACTCCGGGTTGACTTTGTTGGCTAGGCCTGGCAACAGAGGGATGATGGTAACGAACGTTGCGACAACAGCGCGCCAGTTTGTACCATAGTGACCGTATCGGTAGATGCCTCTTGGGTCGTACAAAGCAGGAACATCGTACTTCCTGTGCTTCACCAGCCAGTAGTCCGTGAAGAGGATGCCTGCCATAGGCGCCATGAAGATGGCATATGCGCTCATGAAGTTGAGGAACGCCTTGCCGGACGCTACGATGATCCATGGACATAGCGCCCAGCCGCCGATGAATGCGACGAGGATTGAACCGCGACGTACGTTGACGTACTTTGGCGCTAGCGTTGTGACGTCATTGGCAAAAGAGACGGCATTCGCACTAATGTTGACGCTAAGCTGCCCAAGCAACCAGATGGAAGCACAGAAGAAGGCTGCTGCCCGGCCACCAGGCGTATCCCAGGTATCGATGATTTGTAGTGGCGTCCAATAGGCTGTGCCCCAGATCTCTTGGGCTGCGGATGCAGAGACGATCCCCATAAGAGCGACCATAGTCTTGAAGAAAGGGATTACAGGCATCTGCCAGTATTGCGCTGTAGGATCCTTGCTGAAGCGGGAGAAGTCTGGAATGTTGACAGCGAGGGTGCTGTATCCACCAGTGATGCTAGTCATGCTCGATAACCAGAGCCAGGCCCTTTCAGCGCCATGCACCGAGGCTGGACGTGTAAAGAAAGTGCCATTACCGCCTGCTTTGACAGCAACCCAGACTGTCATTCCGATGGCTACGGGTGGCAACAGTACTGTCTTCACCCAGAACATGTACTGTAGTTTGTGCGTCGGGATGAGAAGGAATGGGAATTGGATGAGCCAATACAGGAAGTATGAGATCATCCCGGCCGTCGTAAGTCCGACCGATGCAGGTAGATGATTGGGAATATCGCGAAAGCTTGGCCAGATAGCGTTCAAAATCTAGGGGCCAATGTCAGGAGACGCATCCATCAGGCCATTCTTAGTATAACGTACCGCGGTCACACATGTACCTCCATTGGCTGTTTGAACTCCGAACCAAAACATAGCCAAGACACCTCTGCTCACAATGGCAAAGTAGCTAAACCAGTACCCAAAACTGGCGCGAGACGCGATGGGGAACGGAATATGTAGGTTCGAGCCGATAGCGCCGTTGAGTACCGTGGGTAAAGCGTTGCATATACCCGCCACGAGCGTTATGAGCACGGCATCGGTTGCCGTCAGACCTGTTCCAATCAATATCATGTCCTCAAGATGACTTCGACGATCGAACACTTACCAAGTGTGAAGATGGCAGACCCTGAACTCCAAGTCGATATGGTGACAAGGTCACTGAACCAGTACGTTACAAATGCGCTCTTACCCCAAGTCCGCTTTTCCGGTGGTACTGGCTCCATATCGGCATTGGTCCATACATAGGGCGGTGCGATGCTGCTGTTTTGCTTAGGAAGTTGCCAGCTCGATGGCTGCGTTGTGCGAAGCTTCATCTTCTCTTTTGCCGCGTGGCTGCGACTGCGTATGCTGCCTGTAAAGTGCATTTTGAGGGGCTTCTGTTTTGTTATGCGCCCATGTGATTCGAGCAGTCTTCTTCTGAGCTCATTAAAAGTCGTTTAGCGATGAATATCTCCAGCCGTTCGAGTAAAGCGATGACGGATAGATAGGTAATCGACGATGTACTTCGAAGTTGCGTCTGAGTCCGATCTTCCACAAAAATAGCAAGCTATCCTCATCTTATGAAGTCAGGACATATGTGCTGCGTCTCGCGGCAGGTGTCAAAGATAGACAGCTGCGCTTACGTCGCACCGCGCTGAGCAAAAGATGGGGTAGTCTGGGCTGATCTTATCGTTCATCGTGACGTGATTGGGCCATACCTCGTCGCTATCATAGATAAGTATATGTTCCTTGCCCATATCGCTATCGTGTTGCTGCATTTGATGGGAGGTGTTCATGCTGCAATGAGACGCGTTGGGATGATATGCAAGCGTGCGCCACCTGAATGGGGAGGATGAGAGCCGAAGGTCGGCCGGCGCTAGTGCCGACGCTTATCAGTTCGCTCCAGGGCTATCTCCAAGCGACCATCCCGCAACCTCCGTGTTTATCACTGGAAACTTCATCCTTCTCGACTATGGCGCCGGATTGTCCGCTTGATCTCGACTTGGCATGGCATCTCATCCGCGAAGCAGGTTGACGTGCGCAGCTTGTGCGAAGCGGAAAGTCAAGTGCAGTAAGACGGTACCCTGCGACAACTGCATCAGACGAGGTCAAAGAGATACGTGCGGTATCGACGATTTGCATGGCGATGTAAGCTCTCCAACGCGTCCTTCCGACCAAAGATCATGTGAGCTCGACTATTTGCGACAGCGGGTCGCACAGCTCGAAAGCGAAACATGCCAGCGAAGCCCGACGAACATTGCGACTCCGCCCGGAACTCTGCAACCTGAAGCACCAAACGATAGGCTTCCAGATGAGTCCGCAGATGAGCCCGACGACGCTGCTGTTTCTCGAGATACCGCGACGGTACTGGAGTTCCTCGCTTGGGGAAGAAGGAAAGAGCCTCACTGTCACACAGTCGCGTCCCTCGAACCCGTGGATGATGTTCCGATTGAAGTGGGTTCAGGCATATTCGATGACTTGTCCCAGCTTTCGGTGCTTCAACTACTTCTTCCAAGCCCCCACCAAGTTCGACAGTTGGTAGAATACCACCATGAAAGCCTGTTGTGGTACCACGGCAGCTACTTCGTTCCTACTTTCCAGGCGCAACTCCGAGATTTCTACGATAGAGATAATGGGCTAATCGAACAATCATCTACGGATCTCCAATGGGTAGCTTTATTGTTCGCTATTCTGGCCGCTAGTCTTGTGTGCGCACCCGATTTGCGAGCGCAATCATGGGGATTTGACAAGGCCGAGCGAAAGAAGCTCTCACGACGATGGTATCAAGCTATCTTCACTTGCCTCAACCAGGCAGACTATACGAGTAACCTGAGCATCCTTTCTTGCCAAGCTATAGCCACGGCAACTGTTTCAGCTCACCTCCTAGGGTTCAGTACAAAGCAAAGCATCCATCTCGCAACCGCTGTTCGCATTGCTCAATCTTTGGGCATCCATCGCTTAGGGCCAGACGCCAGTGGAGGTGTCGTAGCAAATGAGACTGGTCGTAGAGTTTGGTGTCAACTTTGCAGCCAGGACTGGTTCAGCATACCGTTCTCGGAGAGTTACCTGGTCATTCCAAGATACTCGATATCAACCCCGCCGCTGAACAGCCACGACAAACATTTGGCCGCTGTTGACGCGGACGTTCCTACTACTACGAGCTATTCTTTATTCTTGCGCAACATCGCGATAATCATGCCCCAGCTTCAAGACGGCCTCGTATCAAGCAATACACCTTACACACGTTACGAAACGGTCTTGCATTGGGATGCACGACTTCGAGAACTGGCCACTCGTGGAAGGCCAGTTTTCATGACGAACGCACCGTTGGATCCGAGCTGGCCCAGATGGGTACCATGGGCGCGGCGCGCTCTAGCCATTACGTCGAGTCACAAGATCATCATGATTCATCGTTCCTTTCTACTGGACAGTTTCGTCAATCCTGCTTTCGCGTTCGCCCGCCGAACATGTCTCGCAGCCTCCAAAACGATCGTCAAGGAGTACAAGGCCTTGGTCGGGGAAGATGGCCCCACCTTGTGGATTCATCAAGCATTTGCCGTCGCAGCATCCATCACCCTCTTGCTGGATGTACTACATCGCGAGATCAACGAGAATGAGTGTTCTGAGCATCGTGCACTTGTTGAAGAAGTCTTGGAGATCCTGCAGCGGCGCCCAGAGAGTATGATTGCAGTTAGAGGCGTCAGACTTCTCAAAGCTTTGCTTGCTCAGGCGTCGCACGAGACCTTGTCCCAAAGAAGAAGAAAGCGCAATCGTGACGGTACACCCGCTTCCAAATTTGACGTCTCGACCCTCGTTAGGAACTTCTATCAGACCAACAATGGCGACAGCCACCCTTCGCTACGTCCTGCAGCCACATCAGGATCTACTACCGACCAACCTCCTACATATGACTCGGAAGAGAGCAATCCCCTCGCCACCACGTTTGAACAGCCGCAATCTGCATTCACTTTCTCGGCCTCAGGCTTCGCAGGTACCAATAGCTTCGATGATCTTCTGTACCTAGCGAATTACGATTTCGCGTTGGCGTAATTTCTCATAGCTATCCCTTCCACCTGGTAGTATCCAGCGCAACGTGGCTCGATACAAGATGAAAATCGCATTTCACGTCACTGGCGCGGTCGATTCGTACGTTTGCTGGGTCAATATGATTCATTCGATGATGGCTTCCATCAGTTGCTGCACCGCTTTCTCAACCCCCGGGAGATCCTCCGATATCGGCTGATGACCACTTTTCACAACATGCACCCAGCTTCTTCCTCCAACTAATGTACTGAGATCTTGCGACCGCTGCACTGGGCTGATCATATCCTTATCTCCTGCCACGAAGACTGCAGGACATGTGATGATCTGGTATTGCGGATCTTTGTGGCTACTATCCACGATAGCTTCACATGTTTGCGCATAGGCCTCGGGGTCTGCAGAGCTCACATCCAGCCTCACGGCTTCTCGAGCTGCTGGGTCTACCTTCCGGGTTTGGCTGCGGATTCACTGTTAGCACGGTCTCGACATTCTTCTGGGCTCATCATCTGCGTACCTATCGTCGTAGAAGTTAGACTTGGCCGCAAGATCCGCTGCATGCTTGATGCCTTCCTTCCTCACCGCGGCCGCAAGATCGAGCATGCGCTGTCGAACAGCGGTGATGTGACCGGCCGCTCGACCAGGACCAAGGAGCAAGAGACCTGCAACAGACTGTGGATATCTTGCAGTATACTGCAGAGCAATAATGGCGCCGAGCGAATGTCCAGCGATAACGGCTTTGGACGGGGCTACAGTTTCCGACTTTGTCAGATGTGTGATAAGATCGTCCAAGTCGGAAACAAGCCCTTCAACTGAAAGTGCTTTCGTGACACCTGCTAGTGGTGTCTTCCCGAAACCAGGAAAGTCGACAAGAACAATGTTGTAGGCTTGGGGTAGGGAAGGTACGAGGGGCGAGAATGTTTCGGTAGAACCTCCGAGCCCATGGAGACATACTAGAAGCGGACCAGAAGGATCACCACCTTGTAGGTAATGTGTGTTTGTACCGGAGGTCGTCTTGTAGTGCGAGGAAGTGAGACTGCGAGCAATCATCGTGAGAGTGTGCGATTTGAGTCTTCGATCGTGAGCAACGAAATTCTTACTCTTGTGACGAACGCGGCGTGGATATGAACGTATGCATGGTATCTAAATGCGGTGTAGCCAGGCTCGTGAAGGTGCGGGTGTATCCGAAAGTAGTGGAGGTGGATACTCGGCCGAGGTCCCGAGCCTGGCTGATAGGAGCCCGAGGTGGTATCAACGCACCCACACAAAGATGCGCAGCTCGGGATGTCGCCATACAAGCATTGTCGGGCTGTTATGTCAGGCGTATGTACTCGAGCTAGACTTGATATCGTCATATAGTCAACGATGATCTCCAGACTATTCCCATGCCTCCCTACATGCAAATTGTAAAGGCCTGTCAAGCTCAAGTTCTACTCAGCTACTCAACACGATGGTCGTCACAGCAGTCATAACCGAAGAAACCAACTGTTTGCGTCTCAAAGCAGAGAAGCCCATTATCGATCTCCCACATGCCGATACGACCACCGGACGCGTTGTGCCCATCAAGCACGCGGAAGGTAGCCAGGTAGACTTTGGCGCCGAGATCTACGGCATCGATTTGAACAACTTCACGGATGCAGACTTTGAGTTTGTTTCTGATGCACTACATAAGTGGAAACTGTTGGTGTTCAAGGAGCAGGCGCAGATGCTGAAGCCGCAGCAGCAATATCTGCTTACAGCCAAGTAAGTCGCTAGAAGGCCGCATATTCAACAGATCTAAATCGGCATTAGCTTCGACCGCGAAGAAACAACCGGTGGTTTCGCTCACGGTCACGACCCTTTTCTCACCCACCACAATGGCGTGGACTTCTACGGCATTCCCAAGCGTCCAGCAATCCCAGTACAGCCACAAGTACATATTCTTGGACGCGGACCCGTTCCAGAAGGTCACTTTGGCTTCCCACCGGGCTTCGAAGTCCAAGGTATTGACCACGAAGAGTTCCATCTTCCACCGCACATACCCGCGGAAGAGCGCGAGGCCGGCGCCTCGCGGTTCTACCAATGGCATTTCGACGGATCTTTGTATGACATTCCTCCTCCGCGTGTGGGCTGTCTCTTGGCTGTTCGAACTCCCAAGGGTCCAGATGTGACTGTGCGATGGGAGGATGAAGCCGGAACGCAGATGAAGATGGCGCCGGGAGCTACGGCGATGGTCGCTGGTAGTCGTGCGCTGGCGCTACTCGATGAGGAGACACGTAACATCGTCCTGAACAGCAAGATTGAGTACGCGCCACATGCCTTCGTCTGGATGTCCAAAGCGCACAGTACCCGTCTCGGCCATTCCCTCGAAACCGAAGGCCTTGAAAAGCCACTGGATGAGCTGCCGAAATGGGAGAAGAGCAAAGTCTGTGTGTACCCGATGGTATGGACGAATCCGAAGACTGGTGAGAAGTCGCTGCAAGTGCATGGCCAGGGCGCTCTCAAGCTACATCTCAAGAGTAGTGCAGATGGACCTGAAAGGGTCGTTGACGACTTGGGAGAGGTCAGGAAGTTCCTTGATGAGTAAGTAGCGTATTCCCGTCCTCCATTCGGAAGCTGACTGAAAGCAGGCTCATGCGACCGGCGTTGCAACCCGAGAACATATACGCGCACCCGCATCAGGAGCAGGATGTCATCCTGTGGTACAACCGCGCGCTATGGCACAGCATTGTAAGTTCATACTCTCATGATGAGGCTGAAATGCAACATTGGCTAATGCTCTCTTCCGTCTAGACTGAGTTTCCCAAGTCATATGGGCCGCGTGTGATGCATCAGTGCAACATTGCGGCGAGCGATCATCCGTCAGGGTGAGGAGGCCATGGCATATGTACATACATTCGAGGCGCAGCTAGTCGCGTAGTAGAGGTTCATGATGAGGTAGCTGCAATGTGGTATAAAACAAGACGCGTGAAAGTTGTGGATGTCAATTGTGCGCGTGTGCTTGCGACAAGAATCGATGACGCGTGGCGAGTCATGCCACGATCACGGGATCGTGCCCTTGCCCATCAAACCATGAGGTTTCCCTGAACAGGGTTTTTCGACACCTCACCACTGCCATTCTTCTACTGCACAGCATGCGCCATTATGATTCTGCAATCATCTCCCGCAGGTCCCACCGAGTCACCGCGAAACTGCTGTAGCGCGTTCTAACACCAAAGATCACGGCAATGAGCTCGACGCGTCGCAAATGTGCTCGGCTCTATCTCACATGACGTGAACACCACACGCAACCTGGAGTGATCGCGAGAGCAGCTGACTGCATCTTGCGTCTCGCGTTTCGGTGACTGCGCTTATCAGCCGTGTACTGAGAGTGCGCCGCCCGGTCAGCGATTGCTATCCCGCGATGCTGTAGTCGGATGCGAACATGCGCCCACCGCTTTCGACTGACCCGGGTATCCAGCCACCGCGCTCCCACAGGTCGCAGATTACGAATTCGGCCGAGCGCAGCAGCTTCCATGAGTTGACTCTCGGCCGGGACTTGGCTGCTGATAAGATAACATCCATGGATATTAGCGAAGGGCGCCTCCTAGGGAAACCTCCCCCGCACGTTCGGTAGATGCATCGCTACAGTATCAAGCAGCTGAGATAGGGTCTCTGATAGCGACCGAGCGCTTAGATGAGAATGCGGGGATGGCCGTTGAGTAAGAGTGGGTGGATGAACATGGTCTCGACTTTGAGCATATATGTGGCGTGGGGATTACAGATCAAGGCTGATGGTGTAGACACTTATGACATCGGGCTTTGCGTTCTCACCACTTGAACTTTCGCTTCTTCTGTTCAAAACTCACCGCAAGAGACCACCGCCTAGAAGGAAAATCGCCGGTCACCCTTTTCCTCGACATCGGCCAAGAATTATGGCACCAGGTATCCTGGCCCCTGAGCCCACCTTCACGGTGAAGGAGATGGAGAAGGCTGTCAAAGAGAAGCATAACTTTGGAGCGGTGATCGATGGCCTAGATCTGAACAGCATCAGTGGTAAGCACACTAATGGCACGACAATGACAATGCGATTAGCTAACGTCGCGTTGTAGACTCCGACGTCAAAGCGCTGTCAGACGCGATCTGGACCCACAAGCTTGTTGTTGTCAAGGGTCAGAAGAACCTCGCGCCCATCAAGCAATGGGAGCTTGTCACACGCTTCGATCCCAAAGCACCACATGTGCATTCTCATGGCGATGTCAAGACCTTCCACAAACAGGGTGGCCTACTATCGGTAAGAGTCACCTCTAACCAAGTGGACCGCCCCGCTAATCCGGTTACAGAGAGGACGCGATGTTGTCGGTATACCCGGTGCAGAGAACGTACGTCTGATCGGCAAAGGCTACCAGGGATCAGATCACTACGGTCTTAAAGACGCAACAATCAAGAAAGAACTAGCACACGCATGGCACGACAAACCGCTTCCAGAAGAAGAGTACGCGCAAGGCCACACGCGCTTCCAACGCTGGCATATCGACGCACCGCTATACGCCCGCGACCCAGCCTGGTTTACCACCCTCCGCTGCATCAAGCGACCCACATCTCCAGAAATGACCATACATTGGGATGACGGCAGTGGCATGACCATGAAGACTGAACCAGGTCTGACTGCCTTCTTCAGCAACGTACAGACATACGACATGATGACAGAGCAAGAGAAGAAGATTGCCGACCACTCATGGGTCGAATATGCACCCCACCCTTACCAATGGATGGGTGACTGCAAAGGCCAGTCTCACGGTCTAGGTCTAGTGAGTCAAGGTAGAGAAAAGTCAACGGAAGACCTTGGGCCCTACGAAGAAAAAGACATCAAACGCTACCCCATGGTCTGGGTGAACCCCGTGACAGGCGAGCGCGCCTTCATGGTCCATGGTATCTGCGTCCGGCGCGCATTCGTTCGGTCAAGCGAAGACGAAGAACCAACCATCATCGATGACGTTGCGGAGATAAGGGCGTGGTTGAAACCCATCCAAGAACGCGTACTAAAACCGGAATACATCATGCTGCCGAAGACTGAAGAAGGAGATATCATCATGTGGGCCAACTACCAGATGTTTCATACTGCCGTGGATTACCCGGATCAATGGGGTGCGAGGACGATGCATCAAGCGAATATTGGGGCAAGTAGTGGGCCCGTTGGACCAGTGGCTATTCCCGGTGTTGCGTAGGAGATGGTGATAGTATAACTTGCTTAATTCAGAATGCGCTATGAAGATACGATCACTTTCCCGTCTTGTATTTACGATCCCACCCTCACTTGTAGCTAGATTGAGCGAGTATCGTATCGACTACGGCACCAAACATCCACCATGTCGCTTCATGAACTATCGATACGGTCGTCCTGGTGTTGCGCTACACCTATGTATCCTCCGAATATATTATCAGCGGCACATGTCCATCGTTGTCCGAGAGGCGCTGTCGTCAGCTTCCGTGTACTCCGCGTTGAAGGCTCAGGATCGGTCGGGGAAGTAGGCGGGACCGGGTCGTGACACGATTAGGTCTACATGCTCAGTAGAGACCTGAGGTGCTGCACGAAAGTGGCCAAGTTGGTCCGCTGTCAAGATATCAACAGGCCGTAAAACTCATGAGAGAACATCGTGAGACACACTGTGTTTGTCATGGTCCGAGCCGACGCGACACCTACGTCCGATGAGATGCCAGAGGACGAGGACGGACGGAGGCATTCCCGTCACGAGGGTGATGATAGCAATGATGGCTTCGTTGGAGAATGAAGCCATGCTTTTCGTCCTACAGGGTTAGGATGAAGAGTGAGCGCGAGAAAATATTGGTGATGTCCTGGGTGTCTAGATAAATCCAGGAAGGTGGCTTTTCAGAGATACGATTTACCATATATTTAGGTACATATGCGCGTTTTGACACCGGATCATCCTGAATGGCATAAGAACAAACAGACGGCATCCGGTCGTCTTGTTGTAGGGTTGCGCTAGAACGCATTCATCACCCGGGAACTACCCCAAATTCGCGTTCTGCTTGATAGGCCATGATGATTCTCGAACGCGCACGTGGTACAGTCCACAAGAATGGTCTCAAGAAGCCGACGAATGCACATCTTGCTCAGTTGGCCCTGCTTGCTATTTCACTGTCCGCAGGTGTCTTAAGCCCAAACAGAACTAGCGTCTTCATCTTCAATTCCTCATTCTGCTGATTGGTGAGTTGCGCCACCAAGTGCTGCGATTCTACAGGCGCCCAAATCCTCATTTTGCTGATTGGGCAGGCTTCTGAGCCCCGAGGAGTGGGATGCCGCAGCTGTGTGACCCAGTCTCAGGATACACTTTATAGCGCCTCCATTTTGTTACATCCATCGCGTCCGCAGAATAGCTAGAAGCCATGCCGAAGAAAGATCGCGCATACTCGGTGCGCATTCCTCCGCAGGTCTGGGAGGGTCAGAAGGACAGAATCCTGGCCTTGTACAAAGAACACATCCTCTGCAAGGTCCTCGAAAAGATTACCACCACTGAGTTCAGTCCCAGGTCAGTCTGTTCGACATCGATTGACGTACTGTACGATACGCTATATGTAAACTGACAATGTACAAGCGAGAGCCAGCTTCGGGAGAAACTGAAAGAATGGGGAAGCAAAAAGAGACTCTCCGGAAAAGAACGAAAGAAGATCAATCGCGAGATCGAGAGTAAGATGGTGCCTATCGAACAGTGCGAAGTCGTAGTTCATGGCGAGGTGCAGCCGGCCGAAAAGACATGTCGAGAATATGCAAGAACTTGCAATCGTGGCTACAGAGGTATGATCTGAACATCGTCGATCATTCTCGCGAGTAACATCCATGATCTTAGGGCTAAGTCCTGGTTTACCTGGACATATCCAGATACGTACCCCTCCAGTAGGAAGGCGATCGTGGGTCGATTTTTATGAAGGTATGAGAGTGTGTATTTGGGAAAACACTAGGTGGGTAAAATATGCTCTTGGAAGGGTAAGCGTTTTCACTCGTGCAACAACCACGATGGATCGGTTCACTTCTTCGTCTGGGAGGGACGCTCTGTTGGCAGGAGACCCACTGTCCCACAACGCCTTAGAAGAGGCCTTGCATAATACCGTACCTTTCTCGGGAGATCAGACACACGGTAAGTTCGAGCACTCAACTTCTATACACGCGCTCATGAAATTACAGATATTTCTTCCACCTTGCTCCTGGGAGAGTCTGGCGTCGATGATGACTTAGAGTTGGATGACGCCGTTGATGAAACGTCCAAGTACAGCTTGGCGCTCGCCTCTTCAATACCTGAATGGCCGGCATCAGAGCGAGAAGCTGTGGGTATCTTTCCTGATGAATCGAGACGGCATGGGTGGGACATCTTCTTTGGTTGGAATGACTGATTGTAGCACAGTCTGCACGAGCCATGTTTACTCGGTTGAAAGGACCATCAGGTAGCCTGATGGGGAGGGGAGTAGTGCACCGGCTGAGTCAATAGCGATTCCCATTCCCGGTTCATGAGATGGATAGCGACAAACGAATTACATAGCACAGTGCATCCACTACATACAAGCAACAAACTGAACAGGCCTGGAGCCTACATTAGACCAACGATGAGCGAATTTGGAGGCGTAACATCAATGTAGGCTCTAGGGTGTTCAGCTTTTCCAAGGTTCCTTTGAATGAGGTGCATCCACCGCGCGGAAGCGGCCCGCTATGACATGTGAACTTCTCGCGCGACTCCACATTAACTTTCCACCACCAAACCTCCACCATGCCGCGCCGCAGCCAGACACCCGAAGAATCCACCGCGCAATTGCCAACACAGGCGCGGTCTCATCGTGATTCTGACGCTCGTGAACCGCGCACCCACAAAAAACACCACCGCTCCCACCGCTCGCGCTCCCTCCGTCGCGACGACGACACGCACCGACACAAGCGGCACCGCTCGCGCTCACCCGCCGCACCACGACCCATAGACCTACCCTACAAAGCAAAGCCGCTATCAAAGCGCCACTACGAAGACTACAAACCGCTCTTCCAATCCTACCTCGACATCCAGAAAAACATCCAACTCGACAGCCTCGACGAGCGGGAGATAAAAGGACGATGGAAGAGCTTCGTCAGTCGCTGGAACCGTGGGGAGCTAGCAAGAAGCTGGTATGATCCGTCGATGCTGAAGACAGCGCAGGAGACTGTGCAGACATATCGTACGACTTCTCCTGTAGCGCCCAGGAAAAGAGCGTCGCCCAGCTATGCGCGGAAAGAAGATGAAGCCTCAGATGCGAGCGACGACGACTTCGGTCCCGCACCGCCTACAAACCTCTCCAGACATACCGGACACGGTCCCACAATCCCCAACATGGACGACCTAACCCTCCGCAACGAACTCGTCTCCGAAGACCGCGCGCATGGCCAATCAAACTACATCGACGACATCCGACACGCCCGCAAAACGGATCGGAAATCGCAGAAAGAGGCTCTAGATGACCTCATCCCCCGCGCGGACCCCAACTCCCGTGAACGCCAGCTAGAGAAGAAACGCGAAACAACATCCACCCTAAACTCCTTCCGCGACGCCAAAGAAGCCGGGGAGGTAGACGTGCCGGAGTCAGACCTCATGGGCGACGACGGGATAGACGTGTACAAGAAGAAGAAAAAGGAGCAGGAGAGGCAGAAGAACGAGAGGGAGATACGACGCGAGGAGATTGCGCGGGCGAGGGAGGCGGAGAGGAATGAGAGACTAGCGGAACGAAGGGAGAAGGAAGCGGGGACCATGGAGTTTCTGAAGAGGATTGCTGCGGAGAGGTTTGGGTAGTATTGAGGAGGGGAGAGGGGGCGGGTTGGGACACTTGCTTCACAGTTGATTGAGAAGAGGATTTGAGAGCTGATGGTTCAGCGTGACTGGGACACCAGTTTAGTGTGATTGAGTGTAATATACAAATGGTGGACCCTCCGAATAGATCGACTCCACAACATGCTCAAACGCATTCGTCCCATCATCATGTACCCGTACTCCTAAGCTCACTCTAATTCTTCAACACCCAAACTCAAACACCCTCAAGCCGACACCCTAGCACCACCCCTGGGCTTCTTCCTATCGTGATCCACAATCCCCCTCTTCCGATGGTTCTGCGCCGTCTTCCACCGGACATACAGCATGATCATGTCCTTCAGCCCAACAAACATGCACCCACCGACAACACTCCTTCCCCAGCGCGTTTGCAGAAAACCCGTTGGCTTACCTACACCACCTGCCTTGCCACCCGTATTGATCCAGCCACCGAGCCAGGATGTCGCGGGTGCGCCGGTAGGAGGTGTAACCCATGAGCTGGGTAAGCTTAGTCGGAGGATCTCGCCCATTGCGGCGGCGATGGTGGGGAAGATGAGGGCGCCGAGGATGGTGTCGGCAAGGGAGGTGGTGGAGAAGGTCACGCCGCGTTCGCGACGGACGCGTCGGGGTCGAGGGGCGGCGGGTTGCATGGGTATGTTCGGTGGGGGTGCTGCGCGTTGCTGGGGTTCGACGTCGACCAGATCAGGCATCTCTGCGTCATCCTGCTCGTCTTGCGGTGGCGCGTCGATAGGTCCTGCTGGACCTCGCGCGACGGGTACGGGGGGATGTTCGTGCGCGTCGTCGTCATCGTCATCGTTGTCGGCTTCGCCATTGTTATTCCAGTCGGCGAAGATGTCGAAGTCGAGTTCTATCTCTACTTCTTCAATCACATCCTCGTCGCCCCCATGGTCATGGTCATGGTCGTGGTCATGTTGCACTTGGGCATCCGTGGTCGTGTCCTCGCCAGCTCGTGGCTGGATCTCCTTCAGCCACTGCTGCTCTCGTGGAAGCCACACACGCTCGTAGTATGCGTTGTAGAACCCTCGAAGATATGGTAGTGCGGCAAAGGTGAAAGCGGCGCTCGGTGGCCACTGGAGTTGTAGCATGTCATCGCCTGGTTGCCCCGAGCTAACGAAGAAGATGAGCGGAAGGAAGGGTAGGAAGGAATCAGCGAATGATGTTCGGCTTGCGACCAAAACTGTCGGAATCAACGGCAGTCCAAGGTCTAATCTCCAGTGCTGCCTCAGATGTTCCAGCCACTGCAATGTCACCGAGTTCACCGACCGACTCGGGGTCTCGTAGAGCGGGCCGAGAATTTGCAGCGCATCTTGGGTGCCGAATATCTGGTAGATCGTTGCCGTCCCGGATAGCGTCAGTGTCGAGTAGAGCGCTGTGCCTGTGACGAGTGCGAAGCCCGGAAGCAGGAGGTTACCCGTAAGCTTCTCGACGCCCCGAACCATGTCCACCACGTAGCTCCTCGGCCGCTCTATCCTGATCTCGCTCTTGCACTGAGGACATAATATCTGCCCTGCTGCTTTACCGGCCCGTCGCCGTGAGCTGGGCGCCTCCATGTCCGCTATCCAGTCTAGCAAACACCTCTCGTGCGCCACCAATGAGCAGGCGCAAGGCGACCTCCACTCCGATGTCGTTTCGTCGTCTTCCGTCTCGTCGTTGAAGCAGATCCAGCATCTTCGCGGTTCATCGTCTTCTTCTAATTGTGGCGCGGTGGTCTGTGTGGGTACCTCGGTCTGTTCCTGCGGCGTAGAAGAGGCTGACTGTGTAGATGGCGTATTGAGTAGCAACGTCTGCGAATCTACCGACTGCCCAGAGAAACTGTTCGTCCGTTCTGTGTGCTCCTGCTGTGAGGACGATGATTCGGCAGGAGGTGAGGGTCTATGTTGCGACGCGGGGCGCTGAGGCGGAAGAGACGCCATGACGGCTGGATGTGTGCGAAGAGGACCGGGAAGGCGCGTGATCGGTCGAACAGGAAGAATATAGATTATGGCTCTGCTCTCTGAAACATATGGCACGAGACAGTAAGTGCGGTCAGATTGTCGCGAAAACGGGTGCGGAGGTCGGACTGCGGATCGGTGTTTGTTGATTAGAGTTGCCGAAAGATCTACAAGACGTCACTAACTCCCTGTCACCTGTAGCGTGCCAAGACAAAGCACGTGCATGTTAACTTCATCAGACCGTCCGTCAGAAAGACTTATCCAGGAGTCGACATTAGTACAATGACAAAAGTTTGCAAAGGCAAAGGGAAGTGTAGACTTTTGGAAGGTAGATGACATTAACAGAACAGGACTTCGATACACAATCATCCATCTCATCTACAATCGGATCTTCAGAATCTACCATCTCCCCCACAATCTCACCACCCCTAGAACTATACATATCAGCAAGCATCATTAGATCGAAACATGACAGTACTTACAGGCGGATACATCCCCCTCAGATGAGACGGCGGAACCGGTCCCCAAACCCACGTCGGCGCCTGGCCTGGTTGAGGCACTCCCAAGTACTGCGGCACATGACCTCCTGGCAGACCTTGAGGCACTACGTCCACGCCCATCGCGAACCCATAAGGGTGTGTGGCGACGACATTACCGGCTGCCTGGCTGTTTTGACGTCGGTGTTGTTGTTGTTGGCGCGCGGGTCCGCTGTTCTGGCGCCGATGGCGAGACATCCGCTTGGTAAGCTTTTTCAGCTCTTTCAGCTGGCCGTTGACGAGATGACGGTGCTTGAGCGTGTTGGGTGAGTTGACAAATTGGCCTTCTGCAACATCTGGGATGCTCGGGTCCTGGTTGGAGCCATTTTCGTGATATGGCGAGCCCACTTCTTGCATTTCGTGCGGGTCGTGCGCCGAGCGGGTTTCGAAGGGCTCTGCACCTGCCGGAGAAGCGTGGGGAGCTGGTGCTGGCGAGTTCTCTTGCGGACCTCGAGCCGATCGACGGACACGCGGCGGGTCTAGACGCCAGTGTGACGTGATGCTGTCGACGTCCGAGAGGCTTCGGAAGCTGTGGTATGAGCCGGCCTCGTCATCGTCCTCCTCTTGGTTCCGTCCTCCAACCGCAACATTCTCCTCCTCAGCGACCTTGACCCAACCCGTTCCTTCTATGTACGCCAATTCGTAATGCGGAATAGCAGGATACCAACATACCTCTTGATCCACCTGATCGCCATCTGCCTTCAGACACTCTCCACAGTCGGCGCGGGGTTCTACGAGCACGCACTTGTTGTGAAACTCCAACGTTCCAGGGCAGTCGAGATGGCCACAGTGAAGGTAGTCGATAAGGTGCTCACGGGGGCCGTCGTTGTGCGTTACGAACCACATGATACACATGGTAGCGATTGGTAGTGGAGTGTAAACGGAGGAATGTGAGACGCGATTGCTGATGCGGATTGGAAGCGACAGAAAGCGGTTGTTGCAAGATGATTGCGTTCAAGGTCAACTGAGGAGACAAGCTGTGTTATTGACAGGTTAGTAGTCAGGCGTAGCAATGGAGAGAATAGCTGCACGGACCAATCGCGTAGCGCGATGTTGCGGACAGCAAACGGAGAGATCTAGGGAGACGCGTCGGGCTGTCACGTTTGCAGTAGCAGAATGGAGATTTTGAGAGCGTTTTACTGGCGGCTACTAGAGATCATTGCGCTGGCCGATGGAAAGTTGACAATGGGTAGGATTTGAAAAATATGTATGGATGGTTCGAGTTGGGACAAAACGAAAACAGTGAAAGCTCTACCATCGGACACATATAGTCGGTCGTCGTCTTACCATCCCTCAATCTTGAAGTCGAATACCCTGTCACCCTTGCCCTTCTCAACCGGTTTCGCGTCGCCGTCATACAGCGTCCTCTCGAAATATGTCACCTTACCTTCCCGGTCGCATAGCACTACGATGTTCTTCTGAGTACCATAGCACCCACTCGTAGCGTCCACCGCCTTCGCCTTGACCAAATCGCCGATCTCATGCGCAGGCATCTTGTGCTCTTCCAGATGGTCTCTTCCGATGGCCGGTATAAAGATGCTGTGACGTAGCTGGTTGAGGTACATGTCCCATTCTTCATTCTCTTTCTGTCGTGGCATGGTGTCCGTGGTCAGAATGTCAAGAAGACGGTTGATAAGCTGGTCGCGAGATTCATTCGCGGCGACGGATTCAGCGATAGCGGTGCGCGTCCAGGCTTCTCCGTTTGTTACTTTAGGCCAGCTGCGGTCACTGTAGGCGGCGTTGCTTAGAGCTCGGGTTTCATTTGGTGTTTGCAGGAGATGGACCACACCGTGAACGTCTGGAGTGCGGTTGCTGACGATCGCTAGACCCTTTCCTTCTTCTTTGACGACATCCTGGATGAACCCATAGCAGAGCGAGAAACCTCCTACACCTTCAACACCATCCTCCTCAATCATTCGTTTCGCAAAACCTTCTGTGCTCTCCCCTTTCTTTGGGTCGATCTTCAGCCAAGCGTTTGGAATCAGTCCTCTACTTCGCGCTCCTTCAACGATGGTTTGGTCCTCTTCACGGTAGTTGGTCAATACTGCGATTCGGCCTTGACGAGTTACACCTAGCCAGGTGCCATGCGCAGGGCGGTGTAAATCGTAGCCTCCTAGGACTTGCGTATCTGGAGATGGCCACCATGTTGCTTCTGCCGTTGGACGGTGAAGATACTCCTGGTCTCCGTTAGTTGTGGGAGAGGAACACTGAAGCCGAACAAACGTACGTCTCGATTGTTGAGTAGAATGAACGGGTAGTCTGGATGCGCGGTCGTAAGTATAGCGATGCACATGTTGATGGATGTATTCTGGTTGTAAGAGGGTTTGTGAGTTGAAGTGTGACAACGCGGTGTTCTGTGGCGTTGAAGTTTCGGGGAACGACGGGACAAGCGCAAAGTTTACCGAAGTGCAGTGTGAGCGGTGTGAATGAATGCCAACAAGTGCTTCAACGTTCAATTTTATACGTGGTTCCAACCGTACAGAATGTGGAGTGAGGTAGGACGACACATGGCGAGACAAAAGTCGACCGAAGGCGGAATCTGATGTCCCTGTGACATAAGGAGAGTGCGACCTCGAGCCAGCGACGGTAAAGACGGCGGTACCTCACTTAGCATTGACTCGTTGCAATTGCGTTAGCATGCTGTTCACTGCGAGGTACTCGAAAGCTGTGTGAGCCGTCGTTTTCTAGAGACGTCGCACAGCATGACTGTTCCTGCAGCGGAGTGACACGGCGGAGATGGCCGAAAGCAATCATTCACGTGCCAGCGGCAGAACCCCGGCCCATCTCGAGCTCGGATCCCTGCCAAACGTCACAGCCCCGGTTACACCTGCCTCTGCGTCAGCCCTGTCTCTTGCACCAGACTTCGCAATACACAGGAATTGAGCGACAAGCTTCTGATATACTGCATACGTCTTTGGTCGAGCAAGGAGATATAATGGCAGCCAACTTCGCCCCATACCAAGACATTCCCGAATCGTCACGCGCGCTTTCTCCACCGCCTGTCCACTCGCCGAGGACATCTATCGACCGCACACGTAATATCACATCGCCCACCACACGCGCATACGAACAGCATGACTACTTTCAAGGTCAATCGCCGGTATCGCCGCCCGCAGAACCCGATACAGAGCGCATAGCATGGGATCAGCCCTCGCGGAGCACAGGCTTCGGTCGTTCGCGCGAGGATGTAGATATGTTCACAACCTCTCTGGGCTGGCGACTGGACTATGAAGCGTGCCTGGCATATCTTCTACTGCCACCAGCGGGTGGTGTGGTACTGCTGGTTCTAGAGCACCAAAGCGATTATGTACGGTTTCACGCATGGCAAAGCAGCTTGCTGTTCGCTTTCGTCTTTGTGGTGCACATCATATTCAGCTGGTCGAGCTTCATTTCCTGGGTGCTATTCATCGGAGATTTGGCGGGGATAGGGTGGTTGACTTGGAGGGCATATTTGGATGGTGGGTCCAAGGTGTGAATGCTAGAATGGAGCCAGGCGCTAACATGTGGACAGCCGCAACACTCGATCGATACGAAGTACCCTTCTTTGGCCCGCTAGCCAGCTCGATACTGGATGACGAATAGAGTGGCATACGGAGACGGAGGTTAATGTCGATATGAGCAAGCATGGCGTTTACGGAGTTTTTGACAGCGACGATCTTCAGTCGGCTTGGAGTGACATAGACTTTTACAATGCGATATTGCGTTCCTGACACTCTGTCGATTGTCACCCCTGAAGATTGTTGTCAATGCTCATCCGACGAGCCAAGAGGTCTCTGAAAGATCGAGGCACAGGCTAAGCTTGCTACGCCGCATGCAAGGACAGTGAACAACGAACGTCAATGACAGCGCCGCATGATCGCAGGTTATCCCCCTACATGTCTTCCTTGCGCTATAGGCATCGCCCTGCGAGCAATATGCCAAGATTCGCTGCTTTCTCATCATTGCAGCTTAGGCACCAACGAGTCTTCGTCCGTCACAACCATACCATAACCGAGCGCATCTACGCGATAGGAGATATTGGGACGAAGACGCCGACTGGTGGAATTCGAAGCAAGGTCTTGTTGGCCGGGAGAGGTGGACGACGAATGAGTTGTATGAATTGCTTATGAGGCAGTATGGAGAGTATACTGCGCGTAAGTCTAATCAAAAGGGGTGACAACATTCATACAAGATGTGTTGACAAAAGAAACGTAGTAGGCGCACGTTAAATTCCAGTCAAGAGAGTCCACAGCGGTCGTTAGCGACCGAATTTCGAGCGAGAAACCAAGAGACAAAAATACAATCTTCTCAATATAACACACATTCATTAGGCCTATTATAATACAGTCATATAGGTTCCCACCTATTCACACAAAGTTAATGCGGGCATACTAGATGTCCACGCTAACGTCGTCCCTTCGTATGTCACTCGCTCACAGCACGGCATCAATGATCGATTGAACTGAATGATCTCATAGAGAAACGCCGATGAGAAGATCACAGTGCAAGACTGCTGGTCGTTTGATAGATCAACACTACATCCATTGATCTTATGAGTGCGCCATTCGTCAAAGATCTCGTGTCCATAGCTGACTAACAATGGGATCCTGATGGGGGATACTCGAAGTCGTCCACGGTATGAGCGGCAAAGGACGCGAATCTTCAATGTGAGACGCGCGTTATTGTAATCTGGCTCGTACAAAGCAGGTAATTTATCGCTGGTTCTGAATGTTTCCGGGTCCGTCGTCACCGGAATGGTAATCTGAGCATATTCCCGACGCGAGTTGAGGAGACAAAGCGGGGTGGTGAGTTCGGTTTGAACACCCAAGATGTGTGCCACTATGCCTATAGAACAGAGGCAGAACGAGCGTCTACAGCAATTCAGGACATTTTCGGCGACTTTTAGGTCCGTGACACCATAATCAACAGTCACACCTGAGCCTTCGCCACATAGAGAAAGCAGCGAAAAGACCCGATCGCGAACGACGCACGATTTCTTCGCTTTGAATCGGTCCATCAAGTATATCAGACTTCTACCCCGGAGTTCATGTGTCGTATGAGGATCCAGCGCTCCAACGCGGTCATCGCAGATATAATTAAGGTCGAAAGAGAGTGAGCTTGCTGCTAGGCTCACTCCTCCAGCCATAAACGTGATCTGACGGGCCAGCGCGACCTCTTGAGTGATCCATGCACGATCCCAGTAATCAGCAAAACAGAAATGGCGGTATGCATCCAGGTACGCAGCCGAAATTCTTCCGTTGTTATCGCTTTGTGGGTGTGAATTGCTAATCATCGCTCGTGGATCTCTTCCTGAGGTTCCTGTTGTTTGTCTTCGTTTTTTCAACTTTCGTGGTTTGTTCGTTGGTGCCACTTTGTTCTCCCCATATTTCGAGGTCTCTAAGAAGAGGACGACCTCCTTCTGCGTACCAAGCCACGCTACGACCTGTACTGCCCCTGCGAATACATCTCCCATCTGCTTGACCTGATGGTTCCTCTCGATATCATTACTCTGGTGTATGCAGATAGCATCTATCCAAAACCAATGGGACCGCCATTGCTGCTCCTCTCTGGCTAGTTTAAGGAAGCTGTACAAGTTCTGTCGGATGCGGAATCGCTGACCGTTTACAAAAATCCATCGGCAGCTATCATCAGGGCCCCAGACGTACGATAGGCAAAGATAAGTGCTCGCAGTCGAAGCGTGTCGCAGTCCGCACTGAAGAGGACTGTCTGACGACTGTCCGGCTTGAATGCGCATTAGACGGATAGAAGGCGCGCGATAGTCGAGAGGCGTGTGGGTGAATTCCATTGTATAACGATGACCGGCCGGCTGTGGCGGGGTCTCTGTATTCATCGCAGTGCTGTGGGGATCGAGATCGGATACTGGTAGAGGCCCCAGTACTAATGAATAACTAGGGTCTGAATATGTTCAATGAAGAAATCATACTGTCGAAGAGAATTTTCTACTTCGATGGGCTACTAAAAGGTGGCTGCTTGTTGTAGGCATCATCGAGCGGGGTAGTGCAGGCCACTGAAAGTCCATTGCGACAGCCTGGCTGCACAATTTCCAATGAAGTCTTCTACATCTACCATCGCACAGCCTGGTCACACCAGCAAAAGCCTCCTCGGATGTGTACAAACTCAAGCACGTGCAGCTCACCTAGTGGTCGATGTTTTGATGCGCAACTGTTAGACCGAGGGACCAACCATAACCGCTTGGGTAATGAATCTAGCGATACCTCTTGGGAAAAAAGGGCCGTACGACCCATTTGTAGCTTGATGCGAAGGTGCGGAGGTGGAAGCTGTGTATTCGTGAGGTTAGGAAATCTACCTGGACGCGACGCGTCATGAGGTCACGTCGCTTCCTCTAGCACAACACCGTCAACGGACCTAGGAAAGAACAATAACGCTCTGATTGGGTAAGAACAACATGAGGTTGGTTGTTGATATAGTCTATCAAATATTGCTGCCCCGTTTGCTCACCATAACCTGGGTTAAAGGGATCTTGATGGACTTTGATGGCGACAATGTCGCCACTAAACTCTCGTATCATCCAGTGCGGGCCGGCCTTCAATCGTATCAAACACGGGCCCAACGAACTGCCTCTTCCCTCTGACAAACCACCACACAGCACTCAACACCAGAACACCTCCCAGAACGACCGGCGCGTAGTTCATGTTCTGAGCCGTGACAGGTTGATATGGCGGAAAAAGAAGGAAGATAGACACATAGACAGTGTAAAGAATGGAGACAAGGTTGACACCCACACCCAGCTTCCCGAGCCTGAAGGGGCCATATGGCAATGATGTCGGACGAGCGATCCGCCGGTAAAATAGGAGCAATATCGGCATCAAGTATGAGATGTACAGACCGACTGTGCCGAGTGATACGATAGCGTTGAAAGCGGTAGTGGATCCGATGTTTAGAAGTCCGATCAGAATGAGAAAGACGCTGGTGACCGCTATCGCTGGTAAAGGTACATGATGTTTGCTGTCCACACGGGATAGCGTTTTCGAGCAAGGTAGTCCAGCGTCCTGGGCAAAAGACCACAGCATTCGAGATGCTGTCAGAAGAAGAGGTACTGTTGCCAATGCCGCTATGACTATGAGGGCGCAGGTCATGGCTGATGCTGCTGCCTTGTTGCGGCTGATCTGATAGAAGATCTCGATGATGGGGTATCCGGTTGTCGTTTCCATCGCTTCGGTGATGTCGCCCATACAGAACAGAACAACGAGCAGGAACCCGAATCCTAGTGTGCCGTTGATGATGATTGATGCCAACATGGCTCGCGGAACGTTGCGTTCGGGGTCTTTGATCTCTTCGGTGAGATGGGTCGCGCTGTCGTATCCTGGTCTTATTGTCAGCTTTGTACAATTGTTGGAAATGGGCGTGACGAACCCGCAAGCACATATGTGCTACTCAGCAAACCAATGCTGAAAGCTACGCCGTCACTACTCCATCCCGACTCGTTGATAAAAGTGGTGAAGACGAATTCCGCGGAATTTTTGCTGGGTGATATAACGCAGATGACAATGATCAGCACGATCCAGAATCCGACGTGTAACATGAAAGTCGCATGCAAAATCATAGGCATGATTCTGATAGCAAAGACATTGAAAAGTGCTGCAAGCCCAAGGAAGGCACAGTATATCAACGTTCCGTGCCATCTCTCATAGGAGTAGCTCGGGTAATTGAGTACGACGAGACCTTGAATCATCGTTGCGCCGAGGAACGGGGCAGCCGCAGTGAAGGTCTGCCAGGCGAATATGCAGATCCATCCCGAGGCATATCCCCATGCTGCTCTAAATTTCTTGGGAGCAAGCTGGACGACGAAGTAGTACTGGCCTCCAGCCGATGGGTACCTGGCGAAAAGCGGTGGTCAGATGAGTTTAAAATCCACAGTAGAGTTCTCGACTCACATGGAGGCCAATTCTGAAAGAGACAACGCTGTTGCCAATGTCCCTATAATCGCGACTGTGGTATCTGTATCAGAGATCGATTCAAGCCAGCAGATTGGAAGACGAACGTAGGTATCCATACACCAGAGACACTGGGCCTCCAGATATGAGACCGGTAGCCATTGTGGACCCAAGTGCTTCCCATGTTGCGATCAAAGAAGTCGCCGTAGAGATAAGGGAAAAGACATTGAAGTTTTGCTACTGCTTGTTAAGTAAAGTAGTGTCGATGGTCTCGCAATGACTTACTTCGAGCTTCTGGTGAGAGACTTCCGTCTGGTCATGCTTCCCAGACATGGTCCGTTGTAATTCCAAAGCCATCGATTCATTATCTTTGCCATCAACATCTTTTCGAGAACTCATGTTGATTTTCTCATTCGCTCGTCCTGTACAGCGTAGCAAACGGTTCGTCGGATAGGATGAAGAGAAAGCGCTCACGTCCAATGTTCAATAGAAGCATAATCGTTGATGCGCGGAACCAATCCGAACAACCTGGACTGATGAAGCGACTGTAACCTAATGAGGAAGCAGTGCCAGGCCTGTCTTGATATGCTTATCTTTGCGCCGCATATTTCCATTAGCGGAGGGGTCCCATGCTGAATGTGTGTCATTGATCCCAGGGCCTTTCTTCCACGCTCTGCATGTTGTGTCCTATCTCGTCCAATCATCGAGGTGGGACATGCGAAGTCGAGGAACGGAACCGGTTCTGCGGGGAACGGCAAAGGAAGAGGGTTCTGCACCCATCCCGACGCCTGCCGTAGATGTAGGCGGAACTACGCCGTGATGGTGTACCTGAGTCTAAAATCAGATATGTGTGTCTGGGCTCTACGATTCACGGTAGCCATGGCGCATGCCCAGGTGGTGCGAGACGAGTCGTTGATGAGCCGATGTACTATACCCAGATCCCTTCAAGCTTGCCACGCTCGATACAGACGCGTCAAGACGAGTTCTCAAGTCGAATGTATGCCGTTGAGTTCATAGTTTACGTGTTGGAAGCGGCGCCTCAGTTCGGTGTAACGTCGGGGAAGTTGACGAGTCGTGCTTGACGCGTCTTATCGGGGTCGCGGGCAATGCGGACGCAATTCCGCGATAACGCTAGCGTGGTGGTGGCCCATCAGCACCTGCAGTTGCAGCATACAAGTCAAGTGATACCACGTAGGCTCTGTGATGATATGTCGTGATTTTCAGAGTGGAAATACTTTTCAGACTCCCTTGAGCCACATTTGTTCCATATTTTCTTGCCATGATAGAGGACCCGGTGGTACTGGAAAGCTGGCACAGCGCTGTTGAACTTCAGATTGTAAACCGCAATGCAGATGTGAACGACGCACCCTCATACATGCTATAGTTGAAAAGCGAAAACACAATCGTTTAAATACCCAGCACGTCGTTTCATCTTAAACTACCACCACGCTACCCCCCTCCCAGCAAAAATCCCATCGCCCAACATCTGCTCAACAAGCCAATCATCAATAATGACCGCCGCAACCTTCCTAAGCTCTTTCATATGTCTCTTGCACAGATATCCACCACGATTTTGCGCATCTGGCCTCCATCTGATAGTATTACGGCAGTCGCGGACAGCGCATGGTTTCTGGAGATAGCAGCAGGAAGTGAAGGAGGAGGAGATGGAGGAGAGAGAGGGTCGTGGGATCTTGGGCATGTTTTCTGGTGTACGAGAAGACTACAATAGGGACGTTTTTGGATAATTGAGATTGGATGATGGAGGTTGGAGTGATTCAAGTATGCTCAAAAGTTCAGATGGATGGACAATAGTTCAGCGGGACGACCACTATACCTCCGCTAACAATGCGTTGGCTCATGATGCGATGTTGTCTTTGACAAACCCTCATCTCGGTCCAATCCAAGGACGTCCCGTATCCACGTACCCCCCAGCAGCAAACACGCGCCTTCTGAACCATCTCGCCTTCGTTGCATTCCATTCAGCAATAGGAGTTGCTTCTTTCCAATGGGCCCCCCACGCATCGATATCTAGATCCTCGTTTGACCAGCCTTCACGTCCAATGCGGTCTTCATTGCCAATGATTCCTGACCTCTGTCGTCCACTCCTGTTAACGTAATCTTCAGAAACTCGCACATTCTCGCGCCTCTACTGCGAGATGCCCAACTCCTTGTAGAAAGCTTCGGTTTGGGGCTTGCGACCAAGGAACTCCTCAAGAATATCCATCTCCTCCTTGGAACCACCACGCTCGAGAACCGTATGCCGGTAGCGACGGCCTTCGGTGGGGTTCATGGGATCCTTCTTGAAGACAGTGTAGAACATGTCTGTGGAGTAGACCTGAGATGAGAGGTAGCCGTAGTAGCTGTGATGGTTAGCATGTGATATTTGGTAGAGTGATCGAACGTGGCTTACCCAGCGTCATAACCACCGATCAAGTGGCCAAACGTAGCCTGTCCGTTACCCCAGTGCCAGTCACCCTTCTTGTCACCCTCCAACGACTCAGGTCCCTTCAGCTGACTGATCTCGTGCCTCAAAGAGTTGTACTTCTCAGTAATATCCATCTTCTCAAGCTCCTCATGGCTGGCTGGCTCGTGAACAGCCATGTCAAAGGTGCCGAAATGCAACTGTCTCAAGTTGAATAGGGCGTCGTTGACATGCTTGGTTGAGATCAACTTTGCAACGAGTGACTGGGGGATCTGCTCCGCTGGCTTCTTGTCGGCGCCTGAAGACTCTAGATATGCCTTCTCGTAGTCGGCAGAGATGTGAGAGTAGTGGTGTGATAGAGAGCGTAGTTGCGACGGTGTCCAGCACCAGTTCTCCAGCATCTGAGATGGTGCCTCAACAAAGTCACGAACAGTGTTGGTGCCGTGGAAGCGAGAGTAGGTTGTCCGCGATACCAAGTCATGAATACCGTGTCCAAGCTCGTGGAAGAGGGTAACGACTTCATCGTGCTTCAGTAGCGAGGGCTTCTTCTTTGTTGGCTTCGAGAAGTTGCAGACTAGTGCCGTTGCGGGGTATCGTCGCTTGCCGTTCTCATCTATGTAACCAGGCTGGAGGTTGAAATTGGCGGCATGTCTACCAATAAGTCAGTATTCATCTCATATGCAGGTTGTACAGCGGCTTTACTTACCCGTACTTGCCGTCCCGAGGGAACAGATCGAGGTAGAGGTAGCCGACAAAGCCCTCGCCCTCGCCCTTGTCATCCCAAACGCTAAAGATCTGCACCTCCTCATGCCAGACAATATCGGAACCCTTACCGCCATCAGCAAGGGCAGCCCTGTCTTCCTCGCCAACGATCTCAACGAAGACCAGACCAAATAGCTCTTCAAAGATCTTCAACATGCCTTGGATAGTCGTCTGCAGAGGGAAGTATTCGGCAATGACTTGGTGGTCCAGCTGATAATCCTTCTCCAGTAACAGACGATCGTAGTACCGGTTGTCCCAGAGGTAGTAGTCTTTGGTCAGCGGGCCGGTAAGTCCATTTTCCTTCACATCTTGCTCTTTCAGTGCCATCAGCTTCTCGATCTCTTTCTTGCCGCCTGGGGCGAGCCGAGTGCGAAGGTCACCGAGGAAATCGTCGACTGTCTTGGTAGTCTTTGCCATCTTGTCTTCTATCCGGAATTGCGCATGGTTGTCGTAGCCGAGAAGGCGGGCGGCTTCGTCACGAAGGAGGATGGCCTCCCTGAATAGAGGTACGTTGTCGTTGCACTTGTTCTCATTCTCAACGAAGACCTTCATGCGCGTCTCGGGGTTTGTCGCGTACTTGAGCGTCGGGAAAAGGTCGGGGTACTTGAAGGTCAAGAACAGCTTGCCGTCGAATTCACCCTCTCCCTTCTTGAGTCCTGAGAGGACATCCTCTGGCACGCCGTGTAGCTCCTCGGGTGTAAACCACAATCCTCCGCTTTCCTCGTTAAGGTTCTTCTGGAAAGCAATGCTGATCTGACTCAGACGCTGCTTGATCTCCTTGAAACGGTCCCTCTTGGGGCCCGCGGGGAGATTCAGACCATTCCTAATGAACGACTTGTGGTCCTTCTCGAGCAGCCGGCGGGACTCCGGGTCTAGGTCCTCGCCCTTCTTCAGTACCGCATCGATGAGATTGAAGACGTCCTCGCGCATAGACGACTCAATACCAAAGTCGTCGAGCATCTGCTCCACCTCGCTGGACGCATCGCGGAGCTCCTTGCTTGTCGACACGGCGTTGTAGAAGCCGAGGATATGCGATTCGATAGCCATCTTGTTGTCATCGCGGGCGATGGGAAGGAGTACGTTTGCGAAGTTGGCGCTCTCGGGCTTCACGTCGCGGACAATGGCATCTTGGACACCTCGTGACCTGTCGATCTGGGACAAGCGTCAGTATTTGGTCGAT